TAGGAGGAAACACTGTCTCAGATTCCACATGCTGATCTGAAGAAAAGGAGGCTGAAAATATGTTTTCCCTGATAGCAGAAGGACTAGAATCATAAATAGGGTGTTCGCGTGGAGTATGATCTACTGAAGTGCTTGTGATGTGGAAATCAGGTCCATCAAACGAAGCTTGCCTGGAGATCCCATTTTCTTCAATATGCCCCATTATCTCCTCGAAACTTGATCTCATTTCTCCTTCTTTATCAATAAAGACCCTTTCACTCACTTCTGCCAACGATGAGGAGCTAGATTGGCTGCTGTATCTTTGATAAGAAGTTTCTGGCTTGGATTGAATTTCGGTTGGATTAAGTTCCAATGCGTTGGTAACTCTTCCTTCCTGGAGCAAAGTTTCTTCTGCATCATGATGATTTTTCACAGTTCCTAGCTGCACCAAAGACTCTACTTCTTCGGAGGATTGACTTCCATGTTTGACATGCTCAGAAGTATGCTCTGGCTCCTCAGAGATATGTTCATCCATGAGGTTTCTGCATTCCAGTTCTTCTTGATCAAGGCTTTTGTGTCTGAGCTGCCCTTCAATGAGGTTACTGTCTTCCAGATCTTCAACAGAACTTAGTGATTCTGTTTCAGGAACAGAACTCACCTTCGAATCACTAAGTTCGCTAGATTGTCTTTGAAATGGTGAGTAGCTTGTTCCCTCTGTAGCCATTCTCTCCGGAACAAAATAGGGTCTCAAATGGCTATCTTGCTTGTCTTGCCTGTTCAGCCCGAAGATTGAGGGTCTTACGATAAAACTTTCATGCCTCCGGAAAAGTGGATCCTTTGGTTGAACTGTTATAAAGTCTTGTTCGTCCTCCATAAGATTAGGTTTCTCTTCACTTGAGTCATAAGGAAGATCAAATGGATTTCGCCTTGGTACTAAAACAGATGGAGCAGACCCGGGGATTGGTGGCAGTCCAAGGTCATAGTACTCATTATCAACATCAAATGGATTGTTTCTTGCTGTAGAAATGGACGGGATGTTGAATGGAAGATCAGCACTTTCCAAGTCAATCAAATTCTTTTCGGTCATCATCAGCCTCATTTTCTTCAGGGCTCTTCTCCTTGCCATAAGATTCTCCAACCGTTGATTCCTTTCGACCTCGGAGCTTCCCAAGTCAATTAGATTCTTCTGATCCTCTTCTGTCCATGTAATAGCTGACTTACTTATATCTTCCTCGTCTTGCTTTCCTTCGTCATCTTCACCATCTTCATTCTCGTCGTCTGCAACTTCTAGCTCTTCTTGATTTTCAACACCATCATCAGATTCGTTATCACTCTCAGTGGTCTCACCAGAACTATCTGAAGCAGCATCAGAACCATCATGTAACAAACTAACATGCTGAGGAGTGTCTTCATCCAAAAGCGGATGGAGCTCATGAAGCATTGGAATAATGTCAGCCATTGAAGCATCTGGAGAAGAGCTCTCAGCTCGATCAGACTCCGAATCAAAAGACTCGTCGTCGTCCTCCTCCTCCTCTTCCTCGTGTTCTTCCTCTCTCTCCTTTTTCCAAGGGGAACCAGGAAGAGAATTAAGATTCACCCTTCTAGAATCAAAGGAATCTGATCTATCAAAGTCAAACTCAATGCTCTCATTATCAACTGTCGGAATGGGAGAGTACTGACTCTCCATAAGCTCCCCATCATCATGTTTCTCTTCACTCTTTTCACTGTTTTGCTCATAAAACTCCCTTGCTGCTTCCTCAAAATCTTCATCAACCGTTGGAATCGAAGAGTATTGACTCTCTAGAAGTTCCCCATCATCATGTTCTTCTTCATTCTTTTCATTGTTTTGTTCATAGAACTCCCTCACTGCTTCCTCAAAATCCTCATCAACCGTTGGAATCGGAGAGTATTGACTCTCTGTAAGTTCCCCATCACCATCACCGTGTTTCTCTTCATAGTTCTGCTCATGAAACTCCCTTCCTGCTTCCTCAAAACCCCCATTCCCAAATTGAAAATCTCGAGACCTTTCCTCAAGTAGAGGAGAAAGATCACTGATCTTATCAATTGACTGATCTACGAGGCCCCTCTCCGTATATCTTTCCACATAGTAACTATCATCAGCACTCTCAATATGAGTAGTATCATACAACACACCAGTTCTCAAAGGCACTATATCATGACTACTTGTTTTTTCCTCCCTTTCAATTTCGGGTATATTAGGCTGACCAAAACTTAGTAAAGTTCCAAGCAAAACAGCAGTACAAACAAGAACTGGAGATACAGCTAACAATATAGAAAACAGAAATGGGAAAGATCTGTACAAAAATGCTATGAAACACAGCATACTCACAAGAAAAGGATGATTTAACACTGTAACATAACATCCTTTAATTGAAAACATCAAAATTTTCCTCATTTCAACTCCAATCTCTACTAATCCAACACCCATCTTTTTTTCTCACTATAAAAAACTACTCAAAACTACAAAAACAAATATCAAATTTCACAGCAAAACAACTCAATCCCCTTACTTACCAAGAGCAAGACCTTCCAACTTCCAAACTGCATAAAAAAAATGAAAAATACACACAAAAAGATCAGCTTCAACACAACAACAGAACCAAACAAACATGAAAACCCCAAGTAAGCTATTCTTGAATTAAAACAACAGAAGAAGCAAAAATCAAGATTCTTACCAGCTCTTTGACTACAGATCAAAATCAATTCTCCAACATACAAAAAGATCCCAACTTTCTTCTTCTTCTTTTTTTTCACCTCAACTAAAAAAAAGTCTACTATTTTGTTTTTTAGCTAAAACTACAGAGAAAAACAAGGTAATCAAAAGAAGTAAAAAAGAAAGAGAAATAGGAAAAAGAAAAAGTTTGCAGCTTTCTCTTTCAACCCTCTTTTTCTTTTCTCTTAACTTTCGGTTCTATTCTTGAAATCCCACCAATGGGGCCTGAAAAAATCAAATAAAAATTCAATCTTTTTACAGCATAGACCTTTTTTTTGAATAAAAAACCAAGAATTTATATGACCAATTACAATTATTTGAAGGATTATATTCCATTTGAAGATTGAAAGTAACAGACAGACATGCATTAATAATAATATAATTAAGACAGCTAAGTGGGGGTGGATTTACAGTGCAGAAAGAATGATGAAGAAGTTGTTTTCTGCAGAAATTTTAATTAGTTTAATGTTAAAACTTTTGAAAGTGGGGACTGAGGAGGGACGAGGGTAATCATCACTATTTGTTGCTTTTTTTTATTAAATTAATCTTGATTAATGGCAAAAATAATATAATTTTTTACCGACTGAGTTAATTTATGGTGACTTCGCCACTGATTTAAGTGTGTCTTTGTCTTTAAACTAGTCTATGTAGTTTGAATAGCGAGACAACGATTTTTTCGCACAATTTATAAGTAAAATAATTCTTATGAAAGTTGTTATTAATATTTATTTTAGAGTAAGTTATTTACGTCGTATATTTTATAGTGTGATCTTTTTTCTGATCATGATTCATGCTAACACAGGATATTTTTTCCGATCATGATAATATATGATACTTTATGTGTCGAATTACTCTTCTTTAGTCTCTCAAGATAAAACACAAAATAAATTTTTATCAATTTTTACTTGCGTAATATCGATTTGACAGTTGACAAATTTTTCAAGGCACGATAAAGGAAATTTTATAATAGTATTACCTTTGAAATATAAGTAATAAGTTTAAAATAGTCTGCCTTCTTCATATTTTATATTTTGTGTGATTTCATTTGTTATATCGCTATTATTGTTATTACATCTCGATAATCAATTACATTACTTTACTATTTTATTGGATAAATAAAATAAAAATTACATGATAGTTTACTTAAACCATATGATTATATGAAAATATTTAGTTAAAAAGTGAATGAAAACATTAGGTTTGATGTGAAAATTCGAGTTCGTGGGGACACATCTTTTTAATTTATTGAATAATTGGTAGTTGTGATTTGAGAGTTGCAATCCTCAACTTCACTTAATAATTTCGTGACTTTATTTTTTTTATCATGCAAAAATCGATAATTTTATTATTATAATTAATAAAAAGTGTTATTTGACGAATAAAATATTCTATAATTTTATTATCGTATAGTAAATAAATTTAATAATTATATGTGAAACTAGCCTAACAATGTGACACAATAACACATACATTTAGCTAGCGTTTAGCTATAGACTTTTAAATATTCTTGACAAATATTATTTGAGTGAAAATTTGGTGAAATTTCACCATGTGTTTTGGCTATAGGATTTGGAAATATATTTCACCTTTTTAGAAAAATGTGATTTATACTCATAAGTTTTAAAAACTATCAAAACTAATTATAGGTTTATATTACAAGTCAATTGGTTGTTCGTTACAACAATAACAAATAGTGTCCATGACATTAGAGCAATGTGGTAATTTGGAGTGAGTGCAACAAATATCATTCGATACATCGTAAAGTATACAAAGCACATGACTTTGTTATCTTGAGCCAATTTTTCATCATTTTCATCAACAATTAAATCATTATTTAATATTCAATAAATATTTCATCACTATTTTAGTGTTCCACGTAAAAAATCATGTAATACAACGCAAACAACTACTATAGAGACTGTTTTTGTAAAAGATAAAAGTTTGGGGTAAAATTTTAATTTTCAAAAGATCCCAAATAATGAGATTTTGCCCAAATATTTAAAAAAACTTGTATTTGAGAATTTGGAATATTTGCCAAAAATATTTACTAAATAAAAGCGAATTGTATGAATAAATGTTATTTGCCAAATTTTTTCCAAATATTATTTGGGAAATCTTATAGCCAAACAATACCTTTATTCAATTTTTTCAATTGTAGAATTACAAATGATAAATCTAGATATTGCTAAATTCAGAAAATTATTTTTCTCATAAATATATGTCTAACTTTATTTTTTATTAATTTATTTTATATTTCGAATAATACGCAAATTCATTACAACTTTTAAATTCGTAATATAAAATTTGGGTTTAGTAGTGAAACTGCCATTTCCCGCGAGAATAATTCAACAAATTCACTCCTCATTTTCAACTAGGGTTTCGGCGTCTGAGATTTGCAGAGTTTTTTTTCCGATTTCCATTTCCCTGAGAAACTATCTAACTGGTAAGTTGATCTTGTTACGATTTTGTTTTTGGTGATTTCAGTGTATGAGTTTTGCTCTATGAACAATCCGAAGTTGTTGATTTTGGATTATAAGCTTCAGTTTTCTTACTGCGATTGATTGTTTTGATATCTGCATATTTGAGTTGAGTTTTGCTCTATGAACTATCAGAGTTTGTTGATATTCGCATTATAAGCTTCATTTTTTCCCAGTCCGATTGATTGCTTGAGATGTGAATATGTGAGTTGAGTTTTGCTCAATGAACTATCGGAAGTTGTTGATTATCGCTTCATTAGCTTTCAGTTTTCGTTCTCGGATTGATTGTTTGAAATTAGCATACGTGAATTGAGTTTTCTATATGAGCTATTAGAAGTTGTTGATATCGCTTTATAAGCTTCAATTTCGTACACTGATTGACTGTTTAAAATTGCATCTATGAGTTGAGTTTTGCTCTATGAACTATCAGAAGTTGTTGATATCGCCTTATATAAGCTTCAGTTTTTGCAGTCCAGTTTAATGTTTTAAAACTGCATATGTGAGTTGAGTTTTGCTTTGTGAGCTATCAGAAGTTGTTGATATCGCCTTATATAAGCTTCAGTTTCTGCAGTTTGGTTTAATGTTTAAAACTGCATGCGCGAGTTGAATTTTGCTCTATGAACTGTGAGAAGTTGTTAATATTGCTTTATAAGCTTCAGTGTTCTTACTCGATTGATCCTCTGAAATGTGCATATGTGAGTTGAGTTTTTCTCTACAAACTATGAGAAATTGTTGATATTGGTTTACAAACTTTCAGTTTTTGTACCTCGATTTAATGTTTGAAATGTGCATATGTGAGTTGAGTTTTTCTCTATGAACTATCAGAAGTTGTTCATATTGCCTTATAAGCTTCAGTTTCTGTACTCCGATTTAATGTTTGGAATCTGCATATATGAGTTGTGTTTTGGAGAATTGTGAAGTAAATGTAGTTGCAATATTTCTTTTTTATGCCCTTCTATTTTGCTGCTTTTGAGGAAATTAGGATGGCGGACTGTAAGAAGAGAAGTGTTTTATAGCTTGATTGGCTTACAGTTGGTGGGAAAAGAACGCAAAAGAAACTACTCATGTTAGCTCTTCATTGCTTACCGAAAGATGAGAAGAATCGAGGAAGTACTGTTAATGTTGTTAAAAATTGTAATTGAATTGGGAATTTTGTGTTATTCATGAGCTCTTCTAATATCACTTTATCAGAAGCTGTGGAATGCCCTGTTGTAAGGGGGGATAAGTTCTTGGGCTGCTTGCCGCTTGCTTGGTGGGTGGGTGGGTGGTTAGTTCTGAGTCCTCCCTATTGAGTTGGGAAACTTTGACTGAGAACACTAGAAGATGGTAGTACCATAGTGATAGCACATAGGTCATGCCCTTGGAGAAAAGAAGTGACCAACATGGATAGTTAAGGAAATATGAATAGTCATGAGCTTGTTTCAGTAAAAGGGGAAAGAAATGACTTAGAAAGTAATTTCGTATTATTTCCCCATTGGTATTAGTTGGTTTATTTGTTTTGCTCTTCCTTACTTTTGTTTCCCTCTCCTTCCTGTTGTACCTGTCTTGAGACCAGCTTTAATTTCTCTGCCTCTTCTTATTTCCCCATCTTCCCTCCTAATTTCGTTTTCTTTTCACTTATGTCCATATTTTAGTCTTGATTCATCTTCCTTTCTTATTGAATCTAGTACGTCAGTTTTTGGGTAGAATATTTTTATGCAAAAATATGGAAATTACAAGACTTTCAACTATTTTTCTCTATTCTGAGTTGGTGTTATGTATTTGCTGTGCTTTCATGAACCCACCAAACTCTAGGTAATTTCATTGTTGCATAGTGATGGATCTACTAATTGATTGTTAGACAGAATAGGAGTTAGATGCAATTGTTGTTTCAAATATAATAAGATGAATGAAGATGCTGCACTGTAATTATGGCCAACATGGTAGAAAAACAGTGTTTAATCTGCCAATACCTGTGCTTAATTGTTAAACCCTTCTCTCAGTTTTCCTATTTTTGTTTAGAGTATGGACACAACAAATCCTGCTGTCTTCGTCAATGCTGAGCTCCTCCGCTTGTACATGGGAAGGAGAGTTCGAGCTGTGATTCAGGTTATCCGCTCTGATGGCAGTGGCACAGTGAATGGGAGATCTACAGATGACCAGCAGATAGTTGTGAAAGGCAATCCACCTGGTCCTCTTACAACGTATGTTGAGGTCATAGGTATCGCTGACAGTAACCAATCTATCCGTGCTGAAATATGGTCCAACTTTGGGGACACACTAGGTATCACTATCCTCCTGCTTGCTTCTTTGTTTGCTTTTCGTTTTCCTGCACTTATGCTTTATAGTCATGAACCATAAATGTTTTCGAGCTATTTTTCCTATAAAAGTATGCTGGAAGAAAAACAACTTACGTTCAAAGTTTGTGCGAGTTATTAGGAGTACTGGAATTATAGGCAGTTACCGTTTTATACTAAAATGCTATTGGATTGTGCAGCGTAGATCTGTAAACAGACCACTTATATATTTTTTTGGTTGGTAGTATTATACCCCATGAGCTTGATCATCTTTATGCATTACAAGAGTGCGAAGTTGGCACCTAAGCTCCTCATCTCCTCCTTGTATATCAACAAAATAAAGCTTTTAGGATTTAACTCTCCTTTTCCTTTTTGTTGAACATGGAAATCAAGTCACCGGGAGTTTTGTTTCATTAAATCGGAAGTGTAAATGAGTGAATATTGATATTATGCATACCCATCTTCATGGATTTATATAGCTGAACTTTTTTTGCTTGTTATAACACAAATTCCGAAGGAATGAATTCTAATATGAGTCTTTTCTGTTGCAGATACATATAGCTATAACCGTATTTGCATGCTGGCAAATGGCGATTACAAGCACTTGTTCATATGAGGACTCAAAAATAATGACATGTTTTAGTGGATCCTAATAAGTGATCCAACTCTTTCACCGTCTCCCATCCTTTATTTTTATATACATGAGGCCTGTGAATACTTGTTTAGAGGTTTGTTTTAGTTTGGGATGCTTGTCATGTTATGCTATGTGTTTCACAAAGTGAACCTGCTGAACTCCAGAACTTGTTTTTACTCTTTTTTTTTTGGTTTTCCAACACCGGAGCCTGACTAATTCAGATTCACGCTAAAAAGTCTCACATTGAGGGTAAAGCGTTTTCTAACAAAGGCGACTCTATACCCAAGCGTTAGAAAGTCTAACATTGAGGGTAAAGCGCTTTCTAACAAACGCGACTCTATACCCAAGGAAATTTGAATTTGAGACTCTCGATTAAAGATGAAGGAATACTTATCATTCCACCACACCTCTCGTTGGTCAGAAATTGTAAATTTGACAGGCCATGCTAGTATTTGCTGATTTGTAACTGTTGCAAACTTTGCCATAAAAATAAACAAGTATCATGTGTAATTTGTCTGAGTGCACCCAAGCTACCGAACACCAAGACTGTTACAACAAATCAAGGATCATGTGGAATTAATAAAGTTATAAAATTCATTTAACTATAACAAACTCTTTTTTACTTCATAAGTTTAAAAACACATATTTTATTGAATGAGGGATAAAAATTGCTTATAGGTAGAGTGTTTCATAATATATTATATTAATTTAATAAATATTAATATTTAGATAAATTAAATTGTTTTCTATTGTTCAATAAATAACGTCACACAACTATAATTACATGGATTAACGAAGAGCTCACGGCCATGGAAGCTCCACGATCATGTCACGTAGTTCTCACTTTTTCTGCCATGAATAAACTTACATAGCTCTGAAACCTTCATCTCCATCTCCCCTAAAATTGATCCAATTTCTGTCAGACACCAAAAAATCCATCAATGGATCATTACAGAGTTTTAGGGTTAACACGAAGTGCGAGCAAGGAAGAAATCAAGCAAGCGTTTCGGAAATTGGCAATGGAATTTCATCCCGACAAGCACGCACATTCCTCGCATCACTTGAAGGAAAACGCTACGCTCAAATTCAAAGAAGTTTCCGAAGCTTACGAGATTCTGATCGACGATCGCAAACGCGCTGATTACAATATCCGGTCTAATAGTTACCGGAATTCAGCGAATAATTATGGCGGTAATAGTGACTATTATAATCGTAGTTATCAGAACGGGTATAGAAATAGCTACAATTATGGGTATGGGTATAGTCGGCCTGCTGATGCCGGCGGTTCTGCAAGTATTGTTACCAAATTCGAGATGGTTCTGCGGTTCATGACGACAAGGGCGTTTCTCCTCAATGCTGCACTTGCCGGGTAATTTTTCGTGTTCTTTGATCCGTTTTGAAACATGGTAGTTGATTGATACATAGCTTTAAGTTCTATTAGTAATAATTTTTATCACAACAATATAAGTTTAAGTTATAGCTATATGAATTCCCAATATCCGTCTTGCTTGAATTGGACTTGTTTCATTCCCATACTCAATAACTCATGGAAGTCATATTAGAAAAATGTTAAACTTTTGTTCAAAAGTAAAGTGAAAGAGAAGGTCACAGAACCAACAAACTTTGAATTTAAATAAAAGTATCTTGGAATGCCATAAACAGAGATTGTCATATAAATTGGGCAAGAGGAGTATTGAATTTGCTTATAGTTCTTGTTAAAAAAGGTTTATTTGAGGCGATATGTATTGCGTAAAGCTGTGAACTTTAAGGGGCTTTTTTGTTCCATTAGACTTAGCGGTTGACTCATGTGTATGTATATTCATAGTTGCCAAGTCAAAGTGGAGGTCCTGAGATTAACAGTCTTATGTTCCAATCGCCATTCAATATGAGTTTGTGTTAGACTTCTTATATGTACGTATTTTTCCTACTTGTGTATGTGCTAGATGCTGTCAATGTGCAGTAGTTGGTGTTGTGTAATTGTAAATTTATTTTCTAATACTTGACCTCTCCCACCTTCCCCCACCCAAAAGAAAAAAAACATATAATTCTAAATTGTCTGGTTATTTTGAACTTACATATCGTAATTAGCTACATTATTGGTTTCTTGGTATGTGGTTTTGCAGTTGGTTTTCCATATAATTTGATGATTCTTCTCTGTATATTTTCCTTTGGATATAGTAGGTTTTGACTAAATAAGTGAGTTACAGTTAAAAGTCAGAATCTTTGTTTTACTTCTGCCAAGATTCATGAATTAGTCTCGTCTCAAGTTTTGAATGGGATACCAACGATTCTGATCATTCAATTCAATCTTGATGTGTTTGTAATGAGGGAACTGTGGCATATTGGCATTCCCCTGAATGGTTTTACTGTATGCTATGGTTATAGATAGCACTTTAGCTGTTCATTCAGGGAGACAAGCAAACAAGGAAAGGCACCTCCATGGGTGAATGTTGAATTCTATTAGTAGTTTTTGTGATCCTTCTAAGGAAATAGTCATCAAGATCCAATAGGAAACTACGGCTTGAACAAAGATGAACTTTCATGCCGAGGCCTGAGAGTTTGCTTTTCGTTTGGGAAATTCCATGTGAGCGTCACTATGCTGTACTTTTTATGATGTTAATTCAAATTAAGAATCGAGGGCTCTAGGGCTTGAAGAGTTCAAAGACCACTCATATTCACAGACCTAGTAGTTTTTGTCTTGCATTTTAATTTTCCAAGAAGTTCATTGTGTATTCAAGAAAAATTGCCATTTCAAATTTGCCTCGTTTACTGTCCAGTCTCATCCTTCCGATTTGGGTGAATTCTATGTATTTCTAGTTCCTAAACTTCCTGATTCATGTGAAACAACTTGATTCTTCAAAGCATCATCCTGTTCTTTTACTTTACCTCAATATTTTTGTTTATGGAAAAGTTATTCACCTCAATTTTGACTCTGTTAAAATTTTCCAAGTAACTCGCTGATATATATTTCTCTGCAGTGTATTGTTAGGTGCAACATATGTAGTTGATGCAGGTGGGGAGGCACTATGGAAGATGCGAAATTCTGGAGTATGACTTCTCTTCCTTCTCTCCATCACTATCCATACAGTTTTTGTTTAGTTAAACTAGGTTTTAATATTGCCTTCACATGTAATGAAATTGGTCCCCTTTTTTCTTGTTTCAATGGTAGTAGGATTGTGTATGATTCTCTTATTTCACAATGGTAACTTGATTTGAAATTCCTTTTGCATAAGAACTCTTTTATCTTTTTCTAGATCCTCTTGTAGCTATCAACATATGGTTCATAGGGCATTCGATGTAGTTTCTGTGTTATATAAACTTCACTATAATCATTCAGTTTTTTAGAAGTATTTGTTATATTTAGTAAGCAGTGAAGTTCCCCTAACTATCAAAATTGTGATCTTTGAGTGTAGAAATCGTTTGAAGAAGCAATGGAATCTGTAGAAAAAGCTAAAGCATTTGATGACAAAAGATGAAAGGGGTTGTTTGTTATGTCGACGAGTTAGAAATTGCTCATGGACATACAATGCATCATACCTTGATCTTCAATTGATATCAAAATTGCTCAATGTTAGGGGGGTGAGCAACGATAAATCCTTGTACATAAGAGAGAAATTATATTGAGTGGCATTGCTGTTTTTGTATGATGTAATATTATAACTTTATAACCACATAAAAATGTGTAAAGATGTAGCCTGTTGGTAGTCAAATAAATATAACTCGACTTGCCTAAAGATGGCAATATTATTCCTCTGAAACACAAAGGGAAGTGCTTTAAGGCCAAAAAAGGAGGTAGAAATAATAATCGTTGATGCAAAGGCAATACCTAGATTAGCAATTGAACATTTCTCTGCCTATATGCAACATCATTTCTCAAACAATATGCTTCTGATTTCACAAACTAAAGAATTGCTTACATTTTCACGAAAAATGCTTTCAACAGGTACAAAAACATATCCAATGAAATCTCACAACTGAGCCAGACAATATCACAGAAAGAAAGACATACTCTTCTTGCGAGTTGGTTTACTTAGCAGCTGTGCTTATTCCTCTTTAATATATCGCACACAAAGCTTATGACCTGATTATATCTCAAGAATACTTCGCCTCAAATGGCTCCTTGCAAAGAAATCATTTCTACTGGCTTTTAAAGGAATCATTTCCTGAAAACAACACTCCAGACCAGTGCAAGGTCTTTGAGATTAAGATGGATACCGAAAAATCTTCACATTGACAGCCCTTGAGTCAAAGCGTGAGAGAAAGAACGCACTGATACCTCTCACCAAGTATCAGATGAAACTAGGAGATGGATTTTCCAATCCAGTATAGAAAATAAGCAGAATCCTAAGATATCATGTACATAGTTAAAACAACCAATAGATGAAAAAGTATGTGGAACATTGTTAGTCTGAGTTGTTGAATCAAGATATAGTACAACTGCTCTATAGTTGTATGTAGCAGTCGATTCCCTTTCTATTCTGATGTACACTACGATCCAAGAAAAATAACATTGAGTAAAATGTTAAGCATTCAAGAGGTCAGGGTCAAACCTAAGATTTCAATAAGTAGCTTGTCACCAATAGAACTGTAACGCATAAGCAATAAAACTACTTACACCAATATCAAATCATCTAGTATACGACACGTCAAGTGCATGGAATACATCTTTTAGCCCATGTACAAATGGGAGTTATAACACTCTTAACAATATTAGGTATACCAAAATCAGTTAGAGAATCAATAGAGGGACAAACCTCAATAGACTTGCGATTTTACAGATAGATCAGAACAAAATATAGCCGAGTTGTCCCTTCCTGCTCGGAACCTTGAAACAAAGGTGTACCGAAAGCAACTAGTTTTCTTCTAAATCAAAATATATGTCTTAGAACTCAATATATCCTGTACTTTCTAACTTCCTCCTCCACATGCCAGGGGTCAAAACATCAAAAGATTTGTCGAAGTCCCAACAACGAATGGCTCCATCAACAGCCTTGTCAAGAAGTAAAAGATGACCCCCAAAGCAATGGATATGGGAAGTGCTGGCAAGGCATGTCGACACACCGCTAACAGTATAAGCGTGCACCCTAATCCAGATATAATAGCGAGATAACAAGCATAAACGGTCATCAAATCGTACATTGCAGCTCTCCCCACCAACACACTATAGAAAACAAAATCTCCCAAACCAAGCTTTATCCCCCTTCCTCTCTCCTCCTCTTCCTCAATTTCCCTCTCCAAAACCCGACCTCGATCACTCTCATTATTTTCTCTTATCTCTTCATTGACCACCGGCCTTTCTCTTTCGTTGTTACTACTACTACTACTACCCATCAATGGTAGCATCTCCCCCTCAATTTCAACCTCTCTAACATCATCAATCTCTTCACTTTCACTCCTCATCTCACTCACAACCCTCCCATTCTGAACCACATTTTCACTACTCGACATAACCCGAAGCTCAATCGGGTCCCCATCAGAAAAACCAGCTAACAAAAGCCCTAAACTTGGTCCTCTACTCCCTGATCTCGAACTCACATTAGGCCGAGCCTCGTATACCAAAGCAGGCAACTCTTCATCCCTACTAGAAGCCAGCTCCACCAACATCTTCAACGGTCCACCAGGAGCTAAAACTGCAACAAGATCATACAAAGCAAGTGCAACAAGAACAACCCAAGTAGTCCATTCAGGTAATTTCGTAAACCAAGCAGCTACAATAATCCCTAAAGCAACCATATACATTTGGTTAAGCAGAATCGGAACCCCTTGCGAAAACACAGAAATGACCCCCAAAATGGTGAAATTGAAAAGTAGGAGACAAAAAGTGATGGAATCAATCGGGATGTTCAAGTGTTGAATAAGAGTAAGAATAATCGACCCACCCATCGAACCAAGAACGAAGAAAGCAGAGAAACGGATGTAGTATTTCAGAAAATTAGTGAAACGATAGTAATAGAGGATTACCAGAAGGAATGTTACAAGGGTTATGAGTACTACAAAAACGACGGCGTTTAGAAGGGCTCCTTCGAGCTTCTGGGCAGTAGTATCGGAAGATGATTCAAGGTATATGAGGTTAGCCGCTGTACGGATGACTTGCTGGTTATCGGAGGAAGATGGTGAAGAAAGGGTATATACGATGAGGACAACGAGGAACATGCAGATGGATACTGGTGACATTACTCCGATGATCTCCACTCCGATCGTCTCCAGAATGCTGCCGCCGTCCATTTTCTGGTCGCCGGCCGGTGGTGGGGTTTGGGAGTGTTTGAAGTTTTTTTAAGGTCTGTTTGGAAAATTCTCAGCAGTAACTGAATTTTGGTGCAACTATTAAGGGCTCATTTACCGATGGGGCCCGCTCCATCCTTTATCGGAGTTTTCGAATTCAAGTCTTTGTAATTATTAAGACATATTTTTTGCGATTAAAATGTTATGTAAGATAAATTTAAAATAATTAAACTCTAATATGATATTATTTCGATTATAAATTAAAAGGAAAAAATTTAAATATGCCATTGAACTTTTAAAAAATGCTCATTTATGTCCTCCGTTAAAAATTTTGGCTTATTTATGTCATTGTTGTTAAATAAAAAAGCTCATTCATGCCTTTTTAAATAAAAAAAAATTGATTTTGCAAAATCACTTTTTACGCATCAAACAAGGTTTAGCACTTTTTTATTGGTATTTGTCTATCGAATGTATACTTTTTGCACCAAGAACATATAAGAACATTAACAATTCCTAAATTTCAAACTTATTTATTTCTTTACTAATTCGCCTCAAATTTCAAGAGTAGTTTCGCTCCAAGCTGGATATCTAAACTCAATTTCTTTTAAGCTCGAATTTAACCTAACCCTAACTCAAGAAGACCCAATTGAAATTTCTTCAAAGTTTCAAAACTTCAACATTCTTTAATGGTAGATACTCCACAACTTCAAATCATTTGAAATTTTGAAAATAAACTCAAAAAATACTAGTCAACAAAGTTTTAATGTAAAAACTATCGTTTTTTGAAATATTTTTTTTTAAATATGGGTGAATTTTTTGAACTCTGCAAATGATGTTAGAATTTTAGTTTTTTTTAAAAATAAATTAATGATGTAGTCGAAATTTGAGATAATTCAATGAAGAATTGAAGATGTTGGAAATTTGGGAGTTGTCTATGTTATTCATGTGTTCTTGGTGTTTTTAAAGAAAAACAAGCAAAAAGTATACATTTGATTTAAAAACACCAATACAAAAGTGTTAAACCTTGTTTGGTGTGTAAAAAATGGTTTTGCAAAATCAGAGTTAAAAAAAGTCGCATGGATGAGCTTTTTCTTTAACTGTAATAGCATAAATAAGCCAAACTTTTAATGAATGACATAAATGAGCTTTTTCTAAAAGTTCGATGATAAATTTGAGTCTTTTTCCTAAATTAAAAAGGAAAAGTAAGGTGTTGTTTGTTACGTTAAATCAACTTAAGATAATTTAGCTAATGAGAGAAGTATAACATTTATTTGACCAAACAACATAATTATACTATATGTTTTTTGAAAAAATTGACTCCATAATTAGAATTATTTTTTAAAAAATTCCCTCTAACTTATTACAATAGTTGAAATTTTTTTATATGAAGCTTTATTTTCTTAGATGAATTTTATACCAAAATCAAATACTCAAGAGTTTTTCTTTTAAGTTTGAACGTTAAATGTAAATATTTTTAAGGCAATTTTCATATATATTAATACAATATTAATATTTGTATGTTATAATAAAGTTTGTATAATTGTGTTTCATAGTAAATATATATATGTATAATTCGCTATACATATACAATTAAAACGAATTGTATAAAACGAGAAAGAAATAAATTACATACAATTTGAACTTGTATAAAACGAAAAAGAGAGAAAGACAAAAGAGACTTGGACATAAAAATATTTGTATTTTAATTATAAGTGTATAGAACGAAAATATATGTATTTGCATATGTATATACAATTTTCTCTCGCTTTATATAAACAAAAACGCAATTTTTGTATTTCGTTTCTGTTTGTATAAGCGAGAGAGGCGAGGGTAGCGAGTGAAATTAGAAAAAGTGGCGAGCGAGATCTGGGAAAGGGGAGCGTATATATGTATTTATACAATTTATTCTCGCTTTATACAAACACAAACACATTTTATACGGGATACAATTAAATCAAAGTATATTTATGACATTAATTTGAATTAATAATTTGATATTACATATAATTTTTCCACGAAGGATATATTTCTTTTAGATGATTTTAATTAAAATCAGATTTATTGAATCACAATTTACACGTATTGAATATAGAGCAGGAAATAAAAAAATTAAACTAAATAACAAAAATGATTAATTTTTCATCTAAATAGTCGTATCTATATTGAAAATTGATTAATTTAAATTTGAAGGCCAATAATTAAATCGATAATATAAGAATTATAATAATATTTTTGTTGGTATAAAATACTATATGTTTGAGAATCTTCTCAAAGAACCTAAAACCCTTCCGGCCTATCTGCTTTATCTTCTCCCTCCATTTCCACTGTACCATACAATGGCTACCACCAACCTGACAACGCCGGCCACCACCTTAAGGTCGCCGTCAACCACCGTCAGCGCCACCGCTTACTCATCCGTCAAACCTAATTGTATCACTTTCTTATCTTACTCGCGCTGTGGACGGAGACAGACTCCATTACTCCCCAGACGGTGTCGTATTCACCACTCCGCTAACTCAATTGTGCCATTGCAGCATCGGTCCGTTGAGAAATTTGTTATCTTTGCATCAAATGAGGATGTTGCTGAGGCTGCTGAAACGGAGACGGAGACGGAGCAGGTAGAAGAGTCCGAGCAGGAGGTACATCAATTTTATCCTGCATTTTGTGTTCTATATGTCTACAATCTCAATTAACTGTGTTTATGGCTGAATTTGTTGGGTATGCTATTTGAATCAGTTGTATCTGTTTTTGGTCTCTCGACGGCCAATGAGACCTCGTTTTAACATTACATAGGAGTGCCTATAGGCCTCTAGGTGTTAATAACATCTTGTTGAGAGAATAGGCGGTTTGTTAACAATTCTTGTCTGGTGAGTTAGCTTTTGGATTTGAGTTATGAAGAGTCCCCTTTATCAACATTATGTGCACAATTCCAATATAATTTGGTGTTTTCGAGTTTCATCATAAGTAGATTAGGTTATGTTATGTTATCCTCTTCTGTTTTTCAAGTGTTAGTTTACAACTGTATCCCACAAGGCTTAGACAGATGAGAAAATTCCTGCTGGATTGAATCTTCGTTGACAGGTAGACCATACCATTAGGCAATGGATTATCCTTTTCCTTTATGTGGAGTTTGTATAAACTATGAGTTGGAATTTCACCATTATTAAGAAGCACTTGTTTTGTTTAGCCCTGATGGTTAAGGATCAACTGTTAGACTACTTAAGTTGGTATGTTTCCTTTTGTTCCTTTTCATGTTGTAGCGGGTTACTTTATGTTGCTTGCCGAAGCTTTTTTTTTTGGTTAATAAATGCAGCATCTGTTTCCTGGTTTAGGAATTGCAAAATGGTCAAGGAACTGGAATTTTCATAGACCTTAGATGCAACACATCCCCATTCCTCTCCTGTCAAAGCTTATTTCCTGGTGATATTGTGATTGCAATAGGTTTTTCCTAGGGAAAGTCAACTAATCATCAATACACCTCAAATTCCATGTTAGTCGAACTCAGTGTTGTGGACGGCGAGAGGCGACAAAAGGCGACAAGGGCCTGCCTCGCCATGCGGCGAGGCAAGCGGCGAGGAGCTTGCCTTTTTGAATAAAGGCGCCAATTAATACCAAAAATTAAAAATATTTAATTGCATATTTTATCCAAAGTCTTAATAGCAATAACACATATTAGCAAATATTCAATTCAAAAGCCAATAGAATGTCTAAAACTTTAAAGATCAAACAATTCAAAATACAATAAACCAAAACTTTAAAAGTCTATTCTTCTTTAAAATTATCCAACTCTTGAAGATCAAAATCTTCTACATCATTATATTGCTCTTCATCTTCTTCCTCCTCGTATTCTTCATCAATTAGTGTCCGAGTCCTACTTGAAGATGAACTTAAAGATGTACTTTCTACTCCTTTGCCCTTATCAAGTACTGTTGATCTTGAAGAAAGTCCCCTAAGATGATAGATACTCTCGTCCGCTCCAATTGCCGTAGCAACACTACCCCAAGTAAGATCATCATCCTCATATACTAGTTCATCATCTTGATCTTCGGGGCATCCAACTAACCATTCGTTGGAATCATCTATGTTATCCAAGCGAATTGGATCAATAAGATCACGAGCATCATAACGGCGTTTCAATGTTCTATTGTACTTAATGTACACTAGATCATTGAGACGCGATAGTGTAAGCCTATTCCTCTTTTTGGAATGAATCTGTGCATAAGTTATTGATATTAACTAGTTAATATTGATAATAATATAATATGAAAAATAGGATATAAATTTTTACTTACGTGTTCAAACACACTCCAATTTCGCTCACATCCAGATGAGCTACAAGTTAGGCTTAACACTTTCATGGCAAACTTTTGCAAGTTTGGTGTTTCACTACCAAATAGTGACCACCATTCAACTATAATAAAATAAATTTAAAGGTTAGTGACTATAAGTAAGTCAAATAATATAAGTAAGAATGTAAGATCTAAATCAACCCACTTACCCGGTGACCTTGTGTCTCTAGCTCTTTTAGCCGGACCACAACCAAATAGTCCATCCGTCATTTTGTACTTAGGAAGCTCAGCGATTAGTGCATCTTGTATTGTTGCATCACGGACCAACTTCTCAACACATGCATAATACTCGGTCCACAAACTCTGTAATAAAGTTCCCTCTTCTTCAGCTTTATAATATAATCCTGGGTTCAAAACATGGCCTGCAGCATGCAAAGGCCGATGGAGTTGTTCTGACCACCTTGCATCAATAATTTGAAACACTTTCTCATAATGCTTCTGAACTCCACGAAAACCATGTGCAATAGCTTCTTTGGCTCTATCCATTGCCTCATAAATATAACCTATTGGTGGTTTTTTCTCCCCATCCACCAAACGAAGCACTTTTGTCAAAGGGCTACAAACTGTAAGTGCCCGAACAACATCATTCCAAAAGTGGATAGAAATAAGAAGATTGGCAACTTCTTTCCCCGAAGTTTCCTTTGCAAATTTACTTGAATTCCATTCGGTTGAGAGTACTAAAGTTTTCAAGTTTTTTCTTTGAATGTACATAGCTCTCAAAGTTAAGAATGCCGTTACAAATCTTGTCTTGGCCGGTTTCACCAAATTTCTTTCTTTGGTGAATTTTCTCATCAAGTTTAACAACAATGGCCTTTGACTAATGTAAGAATGGATTCCGATGGCCTTCTTAAAAACTGTTATAGAAAGATTAAATTAAATTAATTAGTAGCTAATGAATTATTGAGTATTGACTATAAAGAAACTTAATAAAGTTAAAGGATAGGTTGATTACCGGAAGCATATGGCTTAACCTTGAATATGTCACCAAATATCAAGTTGATGCAATGAGCGGCACATGGAGTCCAATAAATGTGTGGATACGCACCCATTATCATACTTCCCGCTTTGACATTCTCACTAGCATTATCGGTGACAATTTGTACCACATTTTCCGGTCCAATTCTTTCGATAGTGCTTTCAAATAACTTGTACATTTTGGTGGAATCGGTAGATTCATTGCTAGCATCAACCAAACCAAGAAATACACTACCGATTAGAGAATTCACCAAAATATTGATGATCATTTTGCCATTTCGTGCCGTCCATTTGTCCATCATAATGGAACAACCAAACTTTGTCCATTGCACTTTATGCTCCTCAACAATTTTTTCTACTTTATCCACCTCTTTTTTAAGGTGAGTGACTCTAACTTCATGGAATGTAGGAGGCTTCATTCCGGGGCCATGTTGTCCAACCGCCTCAATAAATTTATCGAATGATTTGTGATTGACGCAATTAAAAGGGAGCCCGGCATCATACATCCAAATTGCAAAAGCACTAACCGCACGCTCTCTTAGAATTTTCTTTGTTTCTTCGATTCCTCCTCCTTTTTCTAAGCCTCCTTTTTGTGTTGATTTTTGTGAAAAATAGAGGTTCAAAGGTCCTTTCGTCACACTCCGTGCGGTGGATGAACCTCCACTAGAAGATATCTTTTGAGTTTTGGAGGGAGACCTCATTTCCGCATAATCATCCATTTCATCAACATCAAGATCATCAATATCAACAAATTCTTCCGGTTGCCTCATTTGAAATTTGGGATTATTAGCTATTTTGTTTTGCATATAAGCCCTTATTTCTTCTCTAATTTCTGACGGACAAGCGACACATTGTTTAACATTTTTGAAACCACCCACTAAATGTTGTTTGTGTCTAGTTATTCCACCATTGAAAGTAATCCCACAAAAGTTACAATTGACCGAATCTTTCGTCGCTCCTTGAGTGCCATAATTCCATCCAATGTCCCTCTTTTTGCTAGCATCCACCATTGATTATTAAATTCAATTAATTCGCTGTTAGAAATATTGGAATAAATAATTAGGAAAAGAATTTTTAAAAAAAATTTACACTTAACAAATACACAAAGCAGTAAGCACTTAGTGCCTGACTGCTTTAAAGTGTAAACAAAAAGAACAGAAATCAGAAGAACAGTAACTGGAAAAAAAAATGAAGAAGAAGAACAGAAAAATGAAGAAGAAGAACAGAAAAATGAAGAAGAAGAAGAACAGAAATCAGAAAACATTACCTGAAAACAGAGAGTGAGAGTCGCGAGGGTCGGACGTCGGAGGGAACTAGAGTCGCGACTCACGAGGGTCGTCGGCGAGGGAGAAGGAGAAGCTGAAGGCAACAACGAGGCTGCGAGGGAGAGCGAGGGAGAAGGAGAAGCTGGCGACAGCGAGGGAGAAGAGTCGCGACGGAGAAGAAGAGAGAGTCGATCGATCGCGAGAGAGAGTAAAAAAAATCCTAATTTTGACTAATTTTATTAAGTCAAAATTTTTTAATCAAAAAGGCGCCGCCTTTTATCTCACCTTTTCAGCGCCACAGCTCGCCATGGGTCGCCTTATTATCCTCGCCTCGCCTCGCCTGATAATGGCGATGAACCTTCGCCTCGCTTCGCCTCTCGCCTTTGGCGACGAGGCGAGCGCCTTTCGTAACACTGGTCGAACTCATAATAAATGGTACATTTCTCTGGTATATAGAAGATGAATAATTGCCAGAATGGTGGGTGCAATACCTCGAAAGACCTATTTCATGGTGAGAAGGAGAACCTTCTAGGTGGTTGAATATAATAAGTCAGAGAAAGCCTGAATATTTTCTTTCGATAACTATGGTGTTGTACCTCGACTAATATATACGGGATATGTGCTACCTCCCACCAGTTAGTACCATGTAGCACAGGAAAAGTTTGTGATCACTGATCAGTGTCATGGTTAATGTTCGAAGTGTTAAGTCATGTATTCATTTGTTAACACTTATCAGAAGCTTTGCAAGGAGTGAGAAAGTTGCCTGGGGCTAGGTTTGATATTGTTAAAGGGTGCTCAGTTACATTTGTGGAGCTTTAATATTTTTTGGCAGAGGGGTTGATCACCAAACGTCTCCCAAGACTTCACTCAGAATTATGCCTAGGCAGCTTCTTGGAAAACATGGCTGGAAGAATACATTGAAAGTTCGAAACCCCTTGCCAACGAAAGCAAGGGGTTTGCCTTCTGAGTCGAGCTCGTTGCACCAGGTTTGCCTAGTGCGGGTTATCTCTCCAATGTAGTTTGCGAGCTATTGCATAGGAGTGGGGTTTTTACCCTGTGCGCACCCAAAGGATAGCGGTTGCGGGTTTACCTTGTCATGAAAAAAAGGGAAAAGAATACATTGAAGTTTTGGAAAATGTGTCTGGAGGATTATTAGAAAATGGTACCTCGATTATTCCACCAGGTACCAGATAATTCTGCTCATCCAGGCTTAGACAAATAAGAAGAGATCAATTTGTGTATCTGGTCTTTGTAAGTTGTGTGAATATAGTCTCACAGCATCTGCACCTACGCCTTTTAGTTCAATACAAAGGTAATGAAATACTGGTAGGTGAACGTCATGAGTTTGTATTTTGGCGGCGAACCAAGTCTAGTATTTAAGTGAAGAAAGGTAGAAGGGTGCTACTATCCGTCAAAAAAACTATATTTCGATTATCTAGAAAAGTATTACATTTTGATATAGAACAAAATCGTCATATTACTGGCTTGAAAACATTTAGTTTGTTTTCTGTCGATGTACTCAGTGAACTTGGGCTTAATCACTGCCTAGGTGCATTAGAAGCACTAATTTGTTAGGTGATTATGCATGTGGATAGCAAGTGAGATGTCTTCTTGTGATCTACCTCTATAAGATTCCATGTGAGATGTCACCTTTACTTCTCCACAGTAGCTGCATAACTCACTAAGGGGTTACTTGATTTACATCTAGACATACTAGATCTAGTTATACAAATATTACAATAAATGGATTGTTGTGGTGAATACTGATGTAGGATTGTGGTTTTGTGAATGATAACGAGGATTGTTATGCATGGAATGCCTTTCTTTTTTTTTGAGAATTGGCAAGTTCGTATTCTTCAGTATTAGGATATGCTGGCCACCTTCAAAATGTTATGCATGGAATGCCTTCTTTAAGAACCCTTTTGTCTTTAGATACTCTATCTTTGGTATTTCTAGTAGACGTATTCCTATTTTACATTTTATCATGCATAAAATAATACATAGAGCCCCACATAAGTTATACCAGTATTAGTAATCAAGAGTTAAGTGCCATAAACAAAAGACTACATTGGTTGTGTTAGACCTTAATTGGGAAACCAGTCATTGTATTAATTGTGCAAAGACCGCATCTGCCAGTGTTTTATGTTCTAAACGAACATTATATTAGTTACTTGTAATTTTATGCCAGGAATAATAACTTTTGACGTTGGTTGGTGATATACTGCAGTCCCCTCTCCTCTATCAGGGTTACCAGCTACTCGCAGCTCCCATACGTGGAGTTCATTGAAGAGAGTGTTGTTTGACGTTTAATATTGGCCTGTAGCTGCCCCCTTTTCCTCACCAAGTGTTTAATGTCTTAGATTGAGAGATAAAATACATTAGTTCTCCAGCATGTACTGGGTTTTGTTAGATGTATTTTTTTCTTCTGTGTGGCATGCATATCGATGTGGGTTTATGAAAATGAAATAAGATAATGTGTTTAATAACCCAAGGTTGTGGTCTAGTGGTCAACGAAATGGTGGAAAACTAGAGGTCTCTGGTTCAAATTCCAACAGAGGTAAAAAAGACTAGGTTATTTCTTCTCTTCTGCCCAAGCATTGGTGCTGGTAAGCAGGCCCGGATACCAGCGTCACCAAAAAAACACATGTTTAATTTGTCTATTAGTTTGTTTCTCCATCTGCTTTTATCCTTTTGTCAGCATGTATGTTTGGAATAAAGCTGAAGCTGATTAGTTTTGTGTTTATCTTTATAACTTAGAACTTGACTTACTGGAGTTCCAACTTCCAAGTGTTCCAATTCTCTTGCCCACTTATTGAAAGTCTAGTGAAATGTGTATTTCTTACCGTTGAACAGGGGAGTTTAGATGGTGCTGCTTCCGAGGAAGCTTCGGATGAGGATGACAATGCAGCTGCAGAGGAAACTTTATCGGTCGTTGCAGCTTCATTGCAGCTCTACAGAGATGCTTTAGCAACTAATGACGATTCAAAAGTTGCAGAGATAGAAATTTCCCTCAAGTCCATAGAAGATGAGAAAATCGAACTTCAGACAAAAGTAGCCTCATTGACTAAAGAGTTGTCAAGTGAGAGGGACCGGGTTCTTAGAATCAGTGCCGACTTCGACAACTTCCGTAAGAGAACAGATAGAGAAAGAGCTTCGCTTGTGACTAATGCGCAAGGGGAAGTTGTTGAGAAACTTTTGTCAGTTATGGACAATTTTGAGAGAGCGAAAACGCAAATCAAGGTGGCAACAGAGGGAGAGGAAAAAATTAATAATAGTTATCAGAGCATTTCTAAACAATTTATGGAGATCCTTGGATCTCTTGGTGTTGAGCCTGTGGAGACAGTTGGGAAGCCATTCGACCCATTGGTATGTTTCTCACCCGTGCCTCTATTTACAAATACAGATGTATTCCTACATAGATACACATATGCTTGAGTATTTTAAAAAGCTGCTTTCTTTCCATGCTGTGTGTTGCTTGTTTGAATAGATAGGATATTGGTTGTATTGTTCTGGAAAACAAAGTTTTGAGCTACCATCTTCTGTTGTTTATGTAGTGATTATTCTATTTGATCCTTGGTTTAATGCAGGCCAGTTCCCGAGTTGGCTCAAAATTCAGTCAAATTATTGATGAACTTTTTCAAAAGCTGTCTAACTTCTATTCGGTTTTTAGGAAGACCTCAACCTGATTTTTAGCTCAATCTAAAACAGCATTCTTTTGAGCCAACTCGGTGAGTTGCGATGTATAGACTTATGGTATTCTTTCATGAAGGGAACGAAACAAGAATTTGTTTCTTTCGAGCTGTATAACAATCTAACATTGAAATCTGTTTGTGTAACCTTGTTATTGTAATGTTGATGAAAGCCTTTTCTGTAGTTTTATGCCAATAGATGAAACTGTATTACCCGTCTCTTTTTAGTATTGACTGATCTCCCCATGATCAGCTGCATGAAGCTATAATGCGCGAGGATTCCTCAGAATTTAAAGAAGGTGTTGTAATTGAAGAATATCGCAAAGGTTTCAGACTTGGAGACAGACTCTTACGTCCTTCCATGGTCAAGGTATCTGCTGGCCCAGGACCGGCAAAGCCAGAGACAACTGAGCCTAAAGAAAAGGAACAAATCGAAACAGATGAGAAGACTGCTGAAACACCAGGTGATGAAGGGACAGGTGAGGGAGGTAACTAATTATAAGGTGAGGGATGTAACATCCCATGATTTCGCTTATGTTCAAGCAAACATCAGAACGTATTTTCGCGTTGATTAAGATTGGGCTAGGTTTCGCTGGTATACATTAATTGTTGTTTGTTTGAGAGGACATCATTTTAGGTCAGTTGTCTTATGAGTGCTGTCTTAAACATTGTATTTTTTAGGCTTTGGAGAGGGATGATCCATATAGCTGGCATCAACTAGCTTGGGATCGAGGCGTAGTTGTAATCTTCGGGAAACAAGTAAGGGCTGAATGTCATGTGCAAATGTGACTTGAAAATTTGAACTTCACTCTAGCTCTACCCAAAATGTGAAATTTTTTACTGCTTTAACTTATGTTTAGATTTAAAAATTTATCAAAAACACACATCAATTTGCCACCATTGCTTAGATCAAAAGAAAAAAAGTTGCATTTATTCATGTTCAATTTCTTCATGATACATGAAAAACAAACTAGTCAGATTTTTCTTTTACGACAATGAAACCGTAACCGCTTTTGAGTGTGCACATGGTAAATGTAATAGCTCGTAAATTATGAGCTTCATTGAGAAAGCATGCATGTGGGTTAGACTTGAGACCTTTCATCAACTAACTTAGTCACCTTTGCGCTATCTTTTAGATAAGGTAAGTATCGCTTATGTATAAAAGCTTTGAAATAATATAGGGGACGTAAATTATATTCCCTCCGTCCGATATTGTTTGTCATGGTTTTTATTTTTAGAGTCAAATTATAAAAAATGTGACTAACATTTTAAGATGTATTTTTTCATCATATTACTATGTAAAAAATTGTCATTTATAGC